ATGTTTCGGGTAGTTTATTTAGTGACTTGTTTATAAAAAAGTCTAAGTTGGAAAATACACTAGGTAAATATTATGTTTATCACGTCAAAGCAGTTCTTTCGGTAATAGGAGAAAACCATGATTGTAAATACATGCACTGTCATGGTTTTGTACCGCAACAAGCTTCTGTTCTGTCTTCATAAATATATATTACAAAACATTACTATTTTCGATCGGTGCCTTATTTAACAGGAATGACGTCAACGAAATCTAATTTGATTACACTGATACTCTTGCTCCTATTGAAAATATTTCGCACAGTCGACTTGCAAATTAATGACAGTTGTTCTTCTGTACAGTTACTCGGCTTATTTCCAGACTATATGAAGACTGCGATGCGAGAATCGCTTGGATGGTCTACAGCTCGATCAATGTTCAAAGCAGCCATATTACTTTCACGCATATACAATATGACATTTCATGGACAATGTCTCGGATGGCAAGAGGTAATTGCAGAAAATGAGATGAGTGCATTGTTAAGCACATGCGAAAAAGTGGTATCAAATAATATTGTTGGTATAATCGGACCAACAACTTCTAATGCAGTTCGTGTGGTATCACCGTTTTCATTACTTATGAATATTCCAATGGCTAGTTACTCTGCTACAAATCCTGAGCTATCAGATATAACCAGAAACGAAGCATTTTATCGAGTAATTCCATCTGATCATTTTGCTGCACTTGCCATATCAGAATTATTTCAACAATTTAACTGGTCATCAGTCAGTGTTATCATTCAAAATGATGATTATGGTTATGGTGGCCTAAAAGTATTGAAAGAAGAATTTTATTCGGCGTCGATACAAATAATAAATCAATTAGAATTCGATAAAAATACTGACAATTTTACAGTGACCGATAACTGGGCACAGATTCTATCAAAATCATCATCTCGGATTGTGCTTGTATGGGCTACTAGAAATGTAACGTATTCAATTCTGAAACATGCTCTAGAGAAGAATATGACTTCTTCTGATTTTGTGTGGATTTTAACAAGTGATGTCCCTATGGATTACTTCAATCAGTCTGAAAAAGAAAGATTAGCTGGAATTCTAACAGTAATGCCCGTCCCCGGGGCTTTAGTCGATGTTGCTATAAATTCATCATTATTAACAGATGCAAAAGAAATTTGTGATAAAATCAACAATCAGAGCTGTTTAATTAATCATGAAATTAATAATTATGCTTTGTTTGCTTTCGATGCAACATGGGCACTTATTCTTGCACTACATGAACATTGCAATCAGAATAGTCATTGCTTGGAATTCGAGAAAAATGTTACCAACTGCTTCGGTGTTAGATATAAAAGTGGAACACAGTATCGGAACATACTACGTGAAAATACTACGTTCTTGGGTGTAACTGGATCTGTTCAATTCAACAAGAATTCTACTGATCGTGTGAGTGGTGCTTACTATCTTGTCAAAAATCTTCAGAGAATACGAAAGACTAAGAAGTATTGTTACGTGTCGGTAATGCAATGGAGCGGCACTGGTACTTGGTTAAATCATTCTGCTGACTCCAGAATCGTGTGGCTTAATGATGAGTCAAAACCACTGCCAAAAGATTATGCACGGATTTCAGGCCAAAAACTAAAAATAGTCGTTCTCGAATCGCCTCCGTTTGTCATTCTTAAAAATACATCATTAGCATCTAACAAGTCAGATAACAATTCATATGAAGGTTATTCCATCGATTTCATCAAAAGATTAGCAGCCCAAATGGGGTTTACATATGAGATTATAGTGCCCAAATCTAATATTACCTATAACGACGTAGTATATTGTGTGTCTAATAATACTTATAGTATAGCAGTTGCTGATCTTACTATTACAGCAAAGAGAACGGATCTTGTCGATTTTTCAACAACTTTCCTTGAAAATGCTTTACGTGTCGTTGTTCGTCGGTCAGGCACAACTCGGATGAATCTTTTCGCTTATTTTCGTCCACTTTCAACATATCTATGGTTAGCATTTTTCGGTATCATAGTTTATAGTGGAATCCTCATTTATCTATTTGAAAAGTCAAACAATAAACAGTTAGAAGATCGAAATCATATAAAATCGGCTGGTGTCAGTCTTTACTATTCAACAAGTAGTCTTGTCGGATTCGGCTCAGATTTTGCCACAACGGCAGCTGCTCGAGTTCTCATCATCGGTCTCTACATTGTCAGTGTAATTCTGGTAGCTACATACACAGCCAACTTATCTACTTATCTTGCTCTTGAAAGGGCTACACCCATCATTAATGGTATCGATGACATTATTGCTGGAAAAATTCCTTTCGAACGCGTAGGCATTCTAGAAGGTGGGGCTACTCGTGAATATTATGTTAACAGTGTCTCTCAAGAGTATTACCGATTGCAGTCAAAGCAAGAAATTTTTACTAAGTTACAGTCTAAGGTAATTGATGCTGCTATAACAGATAATACTACAATCGTATATGAAACACGAACAAACTATTGTGATCTCGCTGCGGTAGGGAGAGATTTCGTTAAATCAGCTTTCGGTATTGCAATGAGCAAAAAGTGGTTATACAAAGAAGATTTAGATAAAAATATATTAATACTGAGAGAATCAGGTTACATGGAGGATTTGGCGTCTAAATGGATTTACCAGGATAAATGTCAAAACGACGAGCCAGGTTTGAAACCGACAAATGAGATCACGATCGAGATGATGAGTGGCCTATTAATCACATTTTTTGTTATCAGTCTCCTATCAATAGTTATACACATGTGGCGGAAGATCAAAGCGGGTATCACGAAACTTACAGGGTGGCCGCTGCACAAGGAGGAAACAGCGAACTCCAAACCCATGGAGCCCCAAGAAGTCCCATGGAGTCATGTGGACTCATACTGGACTCACGTGGACTCCTATTGGACTCACGTGGACTCCTATTGGATTCGCGCGGACTCCTACTGGATTCGCGTAGACTCCCATTGTAGGCGGGTGGGGTCCCGTGGAGTCCATTTGCTTCCTTAAAAGTATTATCAGAAATCATCGGAATCGTCCAAGAAAATTATCCTACAAGCTCTCTTTTATCAGTCTCGATAGCAGAAAGAAAAGATTCTCTTTGTGGAATTTAATTCTTGATTGGAAAATGTTAGAGAGTAATATCTAACGACCAGTATTTTCGTACATGAAGAATTCACTTCTTCACTCTTTATTTGCTTACTTATTATCGAGAGTACAGAAAGAAAAATATATTTTTCTTTTTTCGCTTTCCCTCGAGATCATAAAGTTTAGTCTTTTCTGTACTATACACTACTATTTATATTGTACGTATGGACTATAAACTGACCTTTGCTTTGTTAGTTAGAATGTTTGCGATTCTTACTTTTTTTATTGTGTGATATAAATAGGCTTGTTTTTCTCATGTAACTTCAGTGTGTGAGAGTGTGTGTATATTGTGATAGCGGAAGCTCTGTTCAGTTTTATTGTATATATTTATTTTATACAATATATATATACGGATCCAAGAACAGAGTTAGTCCAGAGCAAGCAAGACAAGTATTTCGTGAGCCAGTTACATTCACCACCCCGGCGGGCGATGTAACACTGGCGCCGTGACCCGTTGCAAGTTTCTCGAGTGTATCGACTTAAGAAGCACAGAGGGAGATAAATACCTCATCTGTCAAGTCAAGAACAAGGTAAGAGGTTCTGTCAGTGCGAAAAAAAGAGAAAAAAGAGAAGAAAAAGAGTGAATAGAAAAAAATCCCGTCCGACTGCTCTATTAACTAACATAACTGAGATTGTCGATCACTTGATCGTCCGTGAACTATCATTTTCTCATTCACTGATATTTTATTACAACAATACATTCAAACAACGTTTAATATTTGAACAAACAACAGCTACTTCGTAAGACTAAGGACAAGCGTGTGTCCGGCACTCCGTCGTCGGTATCAACTCCAAGCGTCGTCGAGGAAGAAAGGTATCAGCCGAAGGAGGATAGTTAAAAGGCTTCGCCACTACTCCTTAGGTAACAGCTATGGTCATAACCAGTACAAATGGCAGATCCATTAGAGGTTATTAAACTTATTCAACAATTTAGTGGTGAATGTAAACAAGATAGTACAGGTGAACCTAAGCACTCAGTACAAAGTTGGTGTGATCATGCCGATATTACATTTGGTGCATTTAATATTATTGATGCCGATGCAGCAGCCGTTATAACGGCTTTCTCTCGACAAAAAAGTCTATTGGCAGTGGATAAAGAGCTCAGTCAACGATTAAAAAAGTCAGATGAATTAGTGCAAGAATATGTTCATGCCAAATTAAAATTGTTTAACCAATATAATCTTCAAATGACTCAAGCTGAGAAAGTGATGAAATTACTTCAAGGTCTTCCGCCCGATATGCAAGCTGAAGCTCATCTATTACAAACTAGACAATTAATTCAAACAACTGATCAATTTGTTACAGCTGTTCAAAATCTTCAAGAAGCTGAATTGATCAGAAATTCTGTTGTTCAAGGAAGTTTACCTTATGAACAAGTGGAACCTGTTTTTTGCTAAGAACCATTACATGCTGCTTCTATTCGCCATTTCATTACCAACAATATCATTCAGCTCAAAGAATAGTGCATACAGATTCACAAAGGAGGTTTCGTCCACAGTATCAAGTTAGAAGTCAGACACAGTCAAATTTACAAGTTGCTTCCTCACATCACGGTGATCAACAACAGAGAACTTTAAAGAATATCTAAAGTTATCACAGTAATCAACAGTCAAATACATCTAATCGTGGTAATTACTAAAGTAATTTCAGAAAATTTAAACAACAGAGAAATTTAATGAATTAAGATGCTCATCTTCAGTGTTTTAATTGTGGTGAATTTGGGCATGTTCAGAGAAATTGTTTAAACTAGCAGCGGGATCAGTCTGCGATGGTCCCGATCCCAAACAAAAACAACAAAATTCATCATCACCTGTAATCATTAAAACGTCAGTCAATGGAAGATCATGGAAGCTATGGTTGACACGGGGTCAGTGGTTTCAATCATCCACGCAGACGTATGCTATAGTCACTCAAGAAAGTCACAAATTAGGAAGAAATTAAATGTTCATCAAACAGCTAATAACAGTGAGTTGAAAACTATTGGAATTGTTCGCCTTCAAGTGAAAATTAATCATGGAATGACGTTTGTTGATGCTGAAGTCTCTCATCATCTCTGTACAGGTCTTATATTGGGAAATTGGACGAGAAATAATAATATTGATATACTGGAATCTAGAAGATGTATTCAAATCTCATATGGCTACAAGAGACATGATAAAACATTTTTAAAATTTGAAGAACGAGATGACATCCAATTCCCAGTATATGTTCTACAAACAGTGGTACTCAGACCCCATGAAGAAAAATTTATTCAAGTGAAAGTAGCGATTCCATCAACAGAAACAGTTATCTTCATTATTTGAACAAGTTGAGAAACTAGCTGATCACGTCACAAACAAAGAGAAGAAACAAAAAATAATTGATGCGTTAAGAAAACATATAAAAATATTCGATACAAGTGAAGCCACAACCATTAAAACAGCGGTCACTCACACACTTGATATTGAACTGGGAAAAGGCCAAGACAACAGAAATGGCGTCGATATTCAGCTGAACAAAACAAATTGATCAAGGAAACAGTGGAAACTCAGTTGGAAAATAAGCAGATTAGACCATCGCAATCGCCGTGGTCATTTCCAGTGGTTTTGACTAAGAAAAAGGGTGGTAGTCCTCGTTTTTGTATTGACTATCGTCAACTCAATGAAGTGACAAGGAAGGATTGCTATCCTTTGCCCAATATACAGGAATTGTTTGATCAATTGGCCCACTCACGATTTTATACCAAGCTTGACCTTAAATCAGGATACTATCAAATACCCATAGACGAAAAAGATAAACCGAAGACAGCGTTCAGCACTCAACAAGGATCATGGGAATACAACGTTTTACCTCAAGGGATAAAGAACGGGCCTCCAACGTTCCAAAGAATCATTAACAATACATTGGGAAATTTGAGGTGGGATTGTGTTCTTGACATCCACGATATAATTATATTCCCCAGAACCTTTGATGATCATACAAAGCACCTCAATCGAGTCTATTCTGTGTTGGCTCATGCAAATTTTCTACTCAACATCGAGAAATGTGAAGTGTGTCAACGAGAAATAAAATTCTTGGGGCATCGAGTAAATGAACATGGATTATTACCATTAGAAGAAAAAGTCCAGACTGTTAAAGAATTATCAATACCAAAAACAGCCAAACAGGCTGTTTCATTTGTAAAAGCTGCTGAATATTATCGGCGCTTTATACCACGATTCTCTGAAATAGCCGCACCACTTCATAAGTTTTCAAGTTATGAAAAGTATAATAAATTTAAATCGGGTTCCGAAGAAGAAGAAGCATTTAACAAAATCAAACGTGAATTATCAACAACAGCTATTCTTCATTGCCCCGATCCATCATTGATATTCAGGATACAGACAGATGCATCCAGCATAGGTATTGGTGGAGTGCTGAGCCAAGTTGGTCCGGAAGGAGATCATCCAATTGCGTATATGTCAAAGTCGCTCAATAAACAGCAACAAAACTGGAACACTACTGAACCGGAATGCTACGCAATTGTGGAAGCAATTAAATTGTGCGAACCATATAATATCTCAGATTTGCCAAGATTCCAATTTTGACCAATATTTCTCTAGTCACAACTAGAATTCCAGTTTTATCCGTAACAGATACACTCAATCAATCGACTCAGTTTTCGATCCTGATTTTGAATATGGTATTTTTATTACATAGAACTTGAGTTCTGGTTGAGAAAATTAAGAATTAGTCAGGGGTTTTACTCCAAAAATGATTTAAAACTGATTTTTCAGACAAATAAGGCAAAAATTTAAAAAAGTGGCTCGAACCATTGATAGAGCTCGAAAAGTTCTATCGAATGATATATCGCATGATTTGCTCCCACTTGTTCTGACATTAGGAAAATTTACTTTGTCCACTAGAGTGCCACTAAGTAGTACTAATCAGAACTAATTAGTAATTAAAAACCGGTCAGAGATATCGTTTTTCAACTTTTTTGTATGGAATTATATCTACAAACAATTGTCTATAAAACTACATCCCAGTCAATTGAATGTAAAATTTATATCGAAAACTAGAAAAGTTTTAAAAGAGGCCTGTCAAACCAAAAATTTCAGTTAATGTTGAACTTAATTAATTAATAACTCTGTCAATATTTGATCAACACGTTTTTTATTGCATAGGCATACCACCGAAGGTATTCTCTACAAACTGGCAAAGTTTGAGGGTATGTTTAGGGAGGACACCTCCCTCTTAATTAGTTTGACTTATTCATCTACTATTGATCAACGGGTTCATTTCATATGTTACCGTTTACCGGAAGAACTGCTGTGACGTGATAAACATAGTATTTACCTTGTATATTTTTCCAACTTATGAGGGAACCACCGGAGGATATTAATCGATTTCGGATTGGGGCTATTTTTGTTAGAAAGGCCCTAATAGTAGTGAAATGCCCCAATTTGGTTCATCCTCATGGTGCTCTGTTGCTGAGATACTGAATTTTTAGTCAGTTTTTGCCTATAGAGCTTGGAATGCGGAAAAACTTCGACTTTCGAATTTTGATGTCAAACTCGACATACTTGTAGCCCATGGTCCTAGTAGTACGACGGAAAAATATTCGGTGCTAATGAATTCCTCCCTTGAGATACTGAGACTCGAATATTTCACCAGAAGGTAAGGGTGAGGGTCAGTTTTTCCGTCGTACTAATATGACGATGGGCTACAAGTGTGTCAGGTTTGAAATCGAAATTCGAAAGTCGGATTTTCTTCGAAATCCAAGCTCTATACGCAAAAAACCAACTAAAAATTCAGCATCTCAGCAACAAAACATCATGGAGAGAGACCAAGTTGGGGTATTTCACGAATCGTTAGGGCGTTTCTAACAAAAATAGTCCCAACCCGAAAGCAATTTATAACCTCGAGTAGTTCCCTCGTTAGACTCTTTTATCTATCGTATACTCAAACAGTTCGTCTCTCGCCACCTAAAACAG